GTCAACAAAAACTCCTGATCCTCAGAGAAATAAATCTTTCTCTCAGGAGATTAAATCAGCAATAGGTTCGGTTGAGTTAATTGGTCATTTCCTGTTTCATAATTTGTAATCTCTTAGTCAACAGTAACTATGTCATAAAAACTGCCTGTCGGAGATAGCACTGCATTACTGTGATGGGAATTAGTCTGTGACAGAGAAAACACACCTATTGCTAACACAAGGTGTGTCTCTACCGTATCATTATTAGTGAACATCTATTTGGTGTGACTGCAATATACAGTCAATTCTTTTTTACAGTATATTCTGTGAAGCACTTTGAGACATCTAGAAAACATCTAGGAAAGTGCTACATCAAATGCAAGGATTATTATTACCTTTCAGGTGTATCCACAGTACAGCAGTCAGATTTTGTTACTACACATTTTACAATGCGTTGATGAGATCATACTTAAGATACTGTGTTCTGGTTTGGAGAGGCAATACAACAAGTTACATAGATGGCTGGGAGAGACGAATAGTAGTGTAATCAAGAATAAGAATGGGAAAATTGGGAGGAAGAATGAGGAGAGGCAATATAAGCTGGAATCTTAAAGGGGGTGAAGGAACAGGGAGACCTGGGGGTTCATATAAGCAAATCTTTGAAGGTGGCAGGACAGGTAGATAAAGTTGTTAAAAAAGCATACAGGATACTAGATTTTATAAATAGGGGCATAGAATACAAAAGTCAGGAAATTATGATGAACCTTTATAAAACACTGGTTAGGCCTCAGCTAGAGTACCGTGTTCAGTTCTGGGCACCACATGTTTGGAAGGTTGTAAAGGCATTGGAGAGGGTGCAAAGGAGATTTACCAGGATGGTACCAGGAATGAGGGATTTCAGTTCTCAGGAGAGACTAGAGATGCTAGGATTATTCTCCTTGGAGCAGAATAGGTTAAGTGGAGACTGAATAGAAGTTTTCAAAATTAGGAGGGGATTCGATAGGATGAACAGGGAGAAACTATTTCAACTGGTGGGTCGGTAACCCGAGGACACCGATTTAAAACAGTTGTTAAAAGATAAAGAGGGGAGGTGAGAAATTTTTTGACACAGCAAATTGTTCGGATTTGGAATGCGCTGCCTGAACGGGTGGTGGAAGCCGATTCGATAACAGCTTTTAAGAGAGAAGTAGATAATTATTTGGGGAGGACAACTTTGCAGGGCTATAGGAAGAGAGCAGGGGAGTAGGATTGATTTGGATAGCTCATTTCAAAGAGCCGGCACAGACACAATGGGACAAATGGCCTCTTTCTGTGCTGTACAATTCTATGAATTTACACTTATATTGCAGCTTTCATCATTGGGAGAACGTCTTGAAGCACATTAAAAAGACTGTGCAAGAGCCTATGAAGCTGTACATGTTTTCCGGTGCTGATTTATTGTTACAGAAGATCAAAGTACATATTGGGGTCTAGTTTGCAAAATGATTTGAACTGGTGCATAATTAGAGACAAATCTTGCAGCACACAAACCTGACAGACAGCAAACCACTGGACTTCAGTTCCTACACTAATCCCATTTCAGCCTTCTGTAAAAGGGCCAGAGCTCATTTGAGTTTTTTGAGCTATATAAAGGTCAAAGTCAAAATTCCTCATCAGCCAGTTCTTCCGAGTATGGTATGGTGCCACGTCAGCTTTTGAGACACAAGTTTGAGTCACGTTTACCTACAAAATGCACAGAAATTACATGCTGCAATGTAGGGTGTGAAGTGCACTGAGACATCCCACTAACGTGAAACACGCTATATCAAAATGCTGCCGGTTTAAGTGTAAAGAAGGAGCAATGATTTGTGAAGCTTATTTGGCATCACTCTCATTGTTGTATTCACTTTCTACCCGATTAAGAATCTCCTGGGTCTTCCAGAGTCCAGCAGCAGAGAAATCATTGTGTACTGTGGAGAATTGGTTAATTTCAGCCTCAACAACTTTCCTGGTAGCCAGTTCTAGTGGTAAATTACCCTCTAGGTAAAAAAAAATTCCTGACGTTTATCCTGAAATTGCTCTTTACATCCCTAAATCTACACTCTCTAGTTTTGCTGCGTTGGCATATCTGAAACTATTGTTCTGGATTCATCTCAATCCCATTTAGAATCTTGTATACCTCTATAAGATCTTCTCTGAGATGTATGTGTTGGGTTCTTAATAAATCATTCTCACTCTCAAATCATCATGAGACTGAACTCTATTATGTTCGATAGATTTATTAGAATCTGATAGACTTCGAGCGGGTAAAACTATCAACCAGTTAGATTGCATTAGCTAATATAATAAAATACAAAATTATATTTGTATAGCGCCTTTCAAGTTGGGAGGACATCCCAAAGTGCTGAACAGTCAGGGATTTGGATCCGTAATAGTACAGAACAGATAATACAATACATGTCTGTCCTGCAAACCTGCGAAGACTTCTCGATTGTCTTCAGCTCAGCTCAAGTACGGACTCTCTAACCTTTTATACATTATTTGGTTATCATAGTATGGATGGCTCCAACCTATGTACTCTTCATGTCATGTATATATTAACATTTTACCAGGATTATATCTTCTGTCTATTTCCTGTTTTTCGCAAAGCTTAAACAATAAATCATCATATCGTTTTAGTTCTGCGGTTTCAGCAGGCTGCATCAGTTCCTTACATCATAATTAGTTCTTGCAAATCAGCAGCTGGTATCAGATACACAATCCCATTGCACGAGAATGGTCAATGACCATACTGTGAAGGATCCTGAATCTTATGGACCAGGGCATTATTAGTATTCTGAAGCTGAGCAGATTAGTCCTTTTAATTTCTTCTCAATTTACAATCATACAGATGTCTCTTTTCAAGGCTGAAGAGCCCAAGCTTTATCTAATGGCTGCTCCGAGCTCACTCTTCATAACACTGGGGATGATGGGTTTCCCGCATGTGTCGGTAACCCAGCTGTCCAAAAGTTTGGATTGGATACTTTTATACTCATGGTGATGGGTTTCCGCATTTGTGTCAGATACCCGGCTGACCAAAAAAAATCTTAACCCAGTTGCTTTAAGTGAGATAATAATAAAAATAATAATCCTTGCATTTGATATAGCACTTTTCACATCTTCTAGATGTCTCAAAACACTTCACAATAAATATCTTTAGTTATAATTATCCTTGGAAAAGTGGATATAATAATAACAACCTGCCAATAAAATGATAATAATACTTGCATTTGATATAGCGCCTTATCACATCATTGAGACGTCTCTCTTCAACCGTGCCTTCACCTCCCCTCTCGACTCTCTACCACCTCCTCGCTCCCTCCTTTCCCTCCCCTCACCCTGATCATTTCCCCCCTGCTCAGGTCCCGACCCAACTGTCCAGCGCCTTGGGACGTCCTCCCGACGTGAAAGGCGCTCTATAAATACAATCTTGTTGTTGTCTCAAAGCGCATCACAGAATATATTGCAAAGTGAATTGACTGTTTATGTTGAGGGTGAAACTCGGCTGCCAATTGCTCACAGCAGTGTCCCATAGTCGTGGATTGAGTGATCACATTATTATTAGTAGTATTAGTATTATTTTGTAATTTACTATAATGTATTATAATGTACATTGACATACAGTTAGTGAACTCCAAAATCTGGCTAAGAATCCGCCTCGTTAAAAGATGCCAGTTTGCAAAAAAGAGGTTGGATTGTGGACACACTTGTGCAAAGTAAAACCAGTTTATTGCCTGTGGCAATCATCAGTTCCAGTTAGCAGTTTCCTCCCCATTGAACAAGCAAGGTGCAGGCGGAGGAAGATAACCAGACAGTGACCCAAGTTGTTGCCTCAGCGTCTATAAATGGAGGGTCTGCTTTGCAGGAAATGTGAGCTGACTGGTTAACCCTGAGCTACACAACAGGGGCGAGGACATAGGCTGACAAATCCCAGTGCTTTTTTATCCCCACAATCACTCTCTTAGCTCCAGTGACAGAACTGGCAGAACTGACAGAATGTGGAGTCCTGTAGCTCAGTGGTTATAGAGCACTCGCTTTGCAAGCGAGAGACCTGAGTTCAATTCCAGGCAGGGGGAAACCTTGGGCAAGTTTCCTTACTCCACACGCCTAATAATAATCCCTCCAAAAACAATTAAAAAATTGGTCATTTTCAATCTACGACTGTTTGTGGGACATTGCTGTGCGCAATTGGCTGCTGCGTTCGCCCACAAATATACAGTCAATTCACTTTACAGTGTGTTCTGTGAAACGCTTTGGGACGTCCTCCCGACGTGAAAAGCGTTATATCAAATGCAAGGATTATTATTATTATTATTATAACACCCAAATCAACAGCTCCAAACCTAGTGTTTTATCCAGTCAATATAACCTCATATGCCCAGAAGTGCTTTCAAAACAAAGATGTGAAAAAAAATGGCATCACATCACTTTCAAATGCAATTATTTCAGGCGTGAAGCAGAGATTTGGAACATGGAGTATTCTCACTTTGTATATGCAACACTGAAAATGTGACTTGTTTGGGCTGCTCTAACAATCGGCGTCAAGAACAGAAGTGTTTAAGGTCCATTGCAGATCGCATAATAAAGCATCCAGACCAAATATCCCCAGTTATTTGATAGGATGTCCTTGAATGTTGCTGATATTCGTGTGTGTCGGGGAGAGCCAGAATGAGACAGCAGCAACACACAAATCCCACACAGTAGCTGCTCTATTATTATCCCCATTTCCTGTGGTGTGTGTGTGAGTGAGTGTAAGGAAGGGGTTGGCCCTTCCTCGAAATTAGTTTCTGTGATAAACGTTTTGAGAAGGTGCGGTTAACATGACACCAAGAGCAGTGTCAGAACAGGAGAGAAGCAGCAGAGAGTGAGAGACAGAGAGAGACAGTGAGTGAAGCCAACAACAAGGTGAGGTGGAGGCAGCAAAAGGTGAGGTGGAGGCAGCAAAAGGTGAGGGTGGAGGCAGCAAAAGGAGAGGTGGAGGCAGCAAAAGGTGAGGGTGGAGGCAGCAAAAGGTGAGGGTGGAGGCAGCAAAAGGTGAGGTGGAGGCAGCAAAAGGTGAGGTGGAGGCAGCAAAAGGTGAGGTGGAGGCAGCAGGAGGAACATACAAAACCAGGACGTCAGATTATTTTCCTCTTGTGCTGTGAGAGACAGAGAGAGAGAGAGATCTTTAATCTGCTGGAGCTCACATTGCAGCTATGGGTCGCAACAGAAGAATCGTTTGTTTCTTACTCCTCATACACGGTAAGGATCTGAGACTTGTCTGAAAGTCACCTGTTTGTACCTGTTATGCTTGTTTTTAGTGCATTGAAGTCTGGGGAAAGGCTGCTGGGGAAAGTTTAACGTAAGGGCACATTGAACACTATATTTTTTAAAATATCTGGCTGTAATCCACATTAAAGGTTCGTATTAAAAGTGACACCCACAAAATACACAGTCAGTCCACTTTACGGTTTATTCACTTTGAGACGTCTCGACGACTTGATAAGGTGCTGTATCAAATGTAAGGATTATTATTATTATTATGACAACTTTTTTTTACAAAAACAAAACTTCTGGTGTTGCGGATAGGAAAAAAAGCTTTGCTTTGTGTCTGGTCTTGACTCATATTACTGTGCCTGCTGATGTGTGATTGAATACTCTTTCCAAATTCATATTCCTCTGTATTTCTATGCATCGACAGTTAAAGATTAACAGAATGGAACACAGCTTTATAACTTAATATTTCTTCTATTTGATTTAGCCCCTTATCACATCCTTAAACCATCTCAAAGCGCTTCACAGAATATATTTTATAATAGATTGATTGTATTTTGTGGACGGCAGCCAATTGCACACAGTAGTGTCCCACAAGCAGTTTTGGATTGAGTAAACAATTTTTTTTGAGGGAATATTATCCCTGGAAAGCGATACGGCAATCGACTAACAATCAGGTTCTTACTGCTAGGTAAACACAGGCATGTGCAGTTACAAAACTTGCCCAAGGTTTTGCCCCACCCGGGAATCAAACCTGGATCCTATCACTTGCCAGGTGATCATGCTAACCACTACTCTACAGGACTCCACTTGGAGTCAGGAGATGGATTTCTGAGTGAGATGAATATGGATGGAAATTTTGGGAGGGTTCTCCATCTTTCACACTCTCTCTCTCCATGTTGATCTATTACCTATCAATGAGCTTCAGGTTTTCTATTCTATTAATGGCTAACTGCAGCGTAACTTTGAAAAGAAAATGAACGCCTTAAAAACAAGAGTGTTTTGTTAAGTGCTTCATTGTATATTTAATCATAATGGAGCTTAAATATATCTGTCGCTGTTTGTCAGGCTGCAACTGAATATCCATAAACAGTAGTGGAGCTCAGTGTGAATAGGATTGTTTGCACAGTGGAATTTTGAGTTCTGAAATGCTGATCTCAGCTTTTTTGGGAAAGATTTAAACCCGACTACAAATTCAGTGGGAGGCGTGAGTTGGCAACACAGAGCTAGCTGATGAATGTATCTTTCATTTTACCCTCTCTCTCTCGTTGATCTCTTTTAAGCTTTATAGCTGGTAAATCATGGTGAAGTTACAAGAGAATTTTTTTTGGTCTGGTATGGATTTGTTTTCTGCGGTGCTTGAAAACACAGAACACAAGCTTGTTAGACAAACTCCATACAAACGCTAAACAAACACAGTACACAGTCATGTACTGCAACATAATCCCATATATTTGCCAGTGAACAGTGCTTTTGCATTTGTGAATTGGCCCTGAATTAATAAGAGGCACAACTTGTGTGTGGAAAGTCACTGATTCATGATCGTGTTTGCTCTTGTTACAAATGGGAGTGTGACAAGAAGTTCTATTGCCTTCAGGTAATGGCAAGACTCTATGTTATTTATAATATTACCTCCATATTAAAGGTGTACTAATAGCTTGCATTAGCATACCTACAATTCAATAAAAATTTACATTTACATAGCACCTTTCATGTTGGGGGAACTTCCCAAAGTGCTTTACAGTATTGACTGGGCACCCAAAGAGGGAGTGGGAATGATGAGTAGTAACAATATAGTAATAGTAGAGAAACAAGACAACAAAGGTTCTGCACTCAAATTCTGGTGTGTCGCCTCTACCCTCCACTCTCATTGTGGGTGGGGGAGGGAATTAGAGGAGGGAGAATAACCAGGAATCCTTGAGGTTCAAATGGAACCTAAGCTGTTTTTGATGGTTGACCAGTGCTTCACACAAGTAAGCTGCATAGTTAACATTACGCCTTGGTCTGAGGTATTGCGAGCTGTCCTGAGAAGTTAGTGCTATTTTCATAATTTTCTTAAATTTTCTCCCTTCTTCTATTCTTTTTTGACTCATGCCTGCATTCGCTTCCATAGTAACCAGCTGGTCATTGATATCCTGCCCAAGTAGCCATTGTTAATGTGTGAGCTCAGAAGTTGTGTGGTAAGGAAGGAGAGGGAGTGACATCAGAATTCAGATTGACCTTCCCCACGCAATCCCGACACACATTCCAACAGGAGTCACTCATCAAGAGCACAAGCCCTGGGTGATCTTCCAGAGACATTGAAAGCAATTGTAGAGATCCTGCAGTTGTCTCAGCCTGTCTCAGTGAGTCAGCCTGGCTCACTTGATAGCACTCTCACCTCTAAGTCAGAAGGTTGTGGGTCAAACCTCATATTGGCACACGGAGCTCAAAGTCTAGGCTGACACTCTGCTGTAGTACTTGGAGACTGCTGTCTCGGCAGAGGTGCAACTGAGATTCTGCTTGTGCCTATTCAGGTGAATATTAAACATCAACAGAAATACTAAATTGCATTTAAATAGCTTTCATATCGGGAGGCCATCTCAAGGCGCTGCACAGTTGAGGGTTTGCATCCGAACAGGCCAGTGGGGGAGAGAGGGAGGGTGAGGGAAGATGCCCAGAGGCGATTTAGTGAGGACAAGAATCTTGAACTCAATCCTCTGGGGATGAGGAGCCAGTGGAGCTGGCGAGGATGGGGGTGATAGGCTTGTGGAGTTTAATGCAGGTCATTCCTGGTCTGTATGTCTGAGATGTATATTGTGGAGTCCTGTAGCTCAGTGGTTAGAGCACTCGCTTTGCAAGTGAGAGATCTGAGTTCAATTCCAGGCAGGGCGAAACCTTGGGCAAGTTTCCTTACTCCACACGCCTAATAATAATCCCTCCAAAAAACCCAAAACAATAATTAAATTGGTCATTTTCAATCTACGACTGTTTGTGGGACATTGCTGTGCGCAATTGGCTGCCGCGTTCGCCCACAAATATACAGTCAATTCACTTTACAGTGTGTTCTGTGAAGCGCTTTGGGACGTCCTCCTGACGTGAAAAGCGCTATATCAAATGCAAGGATTATTATTATTATTATTGAACTATGCTTTTACAATTCAATAATAGTGACTCTTGCATGTGGTATAACCTCTTTCATAGGATTTACTGGCGAAGGATTTACTGTGAAGTGTAGGGACTGTGTATTTGTAGGTGAACGCGGCAGCCCAGTTGCGCACAGCAGTGTCCCACAAACAGCGATGAAACGAATGACCAATTTTATGTTAGGGGATTGTTGGCCAGGACACCAGGAGAAACTCCCTTCTCGTTTTGAATAGCGCCGCAGAGGATCTTTAACATCCAACTGAACAGGGAAGTGGGGCCTCGGTTTAACGTCTCATCTGAAGCATGGCACCTCCAACAATGCAGCACACATCTAGCACTGCAATGGAGCATCACCTAAGACTATGTGATTGCAAGTCCCAAAAGAGGGGGGCGTGAACCCACAACCAGTGCTATCACTGAGCCAAACTGACGCACAACCGTTGAGGGAACTCAAAACGTTATATAGCTACATCAATGATTGTTATATATGAATCTGTAAGTAATAAGAAAAAAAACATATATGCACTGTTTACCAATTGGGAAGATCATTACAATATAAAATATTAATAATTTGCTATAAAGCGTAGTATCTGTGTATTTTGTAACTTTGCACACAATAATATCCCACAAACAGGCATAGAATTACCAATTTTATTCGGAAAAACATTTTCCAGAAGTTAAGAGAGACACAATTAGCTTTTCGAGTTGTACCATAAGATGTTTAATGTGCACTTGAACAGACTGGTCCTCGGTTTGTTATCTCATCTGAAGGACAACACTTCCATTATAGTACTGTATATACGAAGATGAAAGTAGGAGGGAGGAGTTATTTTGTTTCTCTGATATTTGTCTAAAGTCAAAAATGCTTCTGTATCCTAGCATTCACATGTGTGTGAAGTGAGAAGGTCTGTCTCCCATCTGAAAACTTTCAAAAGATGCATCAAAAGCTTTTCAGATTTGGGATTTGCATTCCACTGGCCTCTTCCCCTCCCCCACTATCCTATTTCTGAGTTACCACACAAGCTCCTGCACAATACACAATACACTACAGTATAGACTACAGTATTGCAGTTTGACACTAGAGATGCCAGCACTCTTTAACACAAAGTGCTGCTTGCTTCTGTGTAAAACTGGTAAGACAAGCTGTTTCGCACACAATGTACAGTCAATTCACTTTTTAGTATATTCTGTGAAGCGCTTTGAGATATCTCAATGACATGATAAGGCGCTATATCAAATGCAAGGATTATTATTATTACTTTAGTATGCTCTTTTGTTAGTGGCTCAGGATATTTTCAGTCCAGAATAAGATACAGTACTGACAGAACTTTGGTCATATATGTTCTGTCATGTGACAGAACTTTAGTCAGTGACAATGTACATTTGTACTCATACACTACTCCCTGGTATTTTGTTTCATGGTTCAAGGTAACATTTATTCCTTTGTGTTTCTTATTATGAATGTGTTTGTCCAATTGACAAATGTGGTCAAACGTAATCTTTGGCAAGTGCACAAAGATGATCATTTCCTTGTCTCCTCTTTTATGTTAGCATAAAATAACCTTATTTCAACCTTGGTCATAGCATGTTAAATCTCTTTTTTGGAACATTCATCTTGACAAGTGTCATCAGAGGGAAATCAAACACAAGGCTTTTACTGTCACCCTATAACGTACGGAAAAATCTTTGTTTCTGGGCAGACAGTATGCTTTTTCATGAACTGAGATGTAATCCAGAAAATAAATTCTATCTTTTTATATTAATAGCGTTGTTGCAAGCCAAATCGTAGTGTATGATATAGTTCTGCAACACTGCAACAAGTGTTTAGTGTTTTTTTTGGTCAAGTGAGTGTTAAACACATG